CAGACTAAGTATGGATTCTATAGCAGAACCCGGCAAGTGTAATGGTGAAATGAAATATCCCGGAAATCTTTTAAAGAAATTATTGCAAAATGCATGAAAACGATATATATCAATCCTCAGCAAGTCAAATGCTAATTGAAACAAAAATTTTTCAATTGAAACATTAACAAAAATAAAAAAACTGACTTTGCTATGCTAAAAATTTTTTTTGTGTTGCATTTGTATGATTAAAATTTGAATCTGTGTAATAATGAATGAGTTTATGTACATTACGATTAACTATTATTAATGTTATCTTATTATTATTATGATTAAGATTATTGATGTTGAATAATGGTGTAGCCCTGTTTTGTCCATCTTTCTCCTTCATCATTATCCATCCATTATTCCTACTTTACAAATAAAGATTTGTGATGAATATTACATTTGGCGCAGTGGGTAGGATCACATTTTACCAAAGCCTTCCAGCCAGATATCAATTTGTATTGTATCTGGCCACTAAACGTGGTTAGCCTTTATTTTGTGTGCCGTTTGTCTTGTCTCATTTCATCACTTTAGGCCCTTTGTGTTGTGGCCACTAAGCCCATTACACTGCCGGATACATATTCTGGAGACTGCAACTGGGAACAGTGGATCCTCCACTACAAGGCTTGTGCCACGGTAATGGCATGGAGTGACGATGAGAAGCTGATTTTCTTAGGGTACGACTCACTGGCAGGGCTCAAGCAGTATTTCACAGGTTATCTGATGGGGATAAGGCATTGTTTTCAGCAGTAGTACAAGCCTTGGAAGCTCATTTTGAGCCAAGTGGTAAACGTGAGCTATATTTAGCTGATTTTTCCACTCATAAAAAAGTCTCAGAGAGCTAGATGGAGTTTGGTGAGGAGTTACGGTGGCTAGCTGCCAAAGCTTATCCAGATTTGAGTTGTGATGCACATGAGCAGCTGGCTCTGACACGCTTCCTTGGGACCATTGCTGACTCCCAAGTGTTGTTGTCTGTGAAACAGAAGAACCCAAAGTCATTAGCAGAGGCTGTCACAGTAACCATGCAAACCGAGTGTATTTTGGCATTCACACATATTGCAGCAGCCTCTTTGAATAAAGATGAAGTCATCAATGCTGTCTCACAAGAGGACAAACTGCTAGAAGTATTTTCAAAGCTGTTAGATAAGATTGATAGCATAGCAGTTCAACCTCAGTATTCTGTGCCTCGTCCACGCCCATCGCAACATCCCCAACCTTCTAAACAAGGGCATTTCCGTTCTTCATAGCCTTCTCGCCGCCCAGTGGTGTGTTACCGATGTCATCAGGAGGGTCATTTTGCTCGAGGGTGTACAGCTCCTCGTCAA